CAGCCCAGCCCCAGCCCCAGCCCCGCCCCAGGCCCGAAGCCCAGCCCCAGCCCCAGCCCCAGCCACCCAGCCCCAGCCCCAAGCCCAGCCCAGCCCCGAGCACCAGCTCCCCCAGCCCCTCGAGCCCCAGCCCCTCAGCCCCAGACCCTCAGGCCCCAGACCCTCAGCCCCAAGCCCCTCAGCTCAAGCCTCAGCTCCAGCCCTCACCCCAGCCTCAGCCGCCAGCCCCGAGCACCGGGGCTCCCAGCCCCGAGCCCTCAGGCCCCAGCCCCACCCCAGCGCACCAGTCCCGCTCCCAGCCCCCAGCCCCAGCCCTCAGCCCCAGCACCAGCTCACAGCCCCCAGCCCCACTCAGCCTCAGCCGCCCCGCCAGCCCAGCCCACCATCCGTCAGCACCGCCCACGCCCACGCCAGCCCCAGCCCCTAGCCGCCCTCTCAGCCCGACCCCCAGCTCGGCCTTCAGCCTCAGCCCCCTGCAGCCCCAGCTCAGCCCCAGTCCCTTAGCCCCAGCCCCTCACCCAGCCTCAGCCCCAGACCTCAGCCGCCAGCCTCGCTTCCAGCCCCATGCCCCGCCCCTTCGCCAGCCCTCAAGCCCCAGGCCACGCCCAGCCCCAGCCCCCAGCAGCCCTCAGGCCCCAGCCACCTCGCCTCAGCCCACCAGCCCCAGCCCCCCAGGCCACGCCCCTCACCCGGCCCCTTCAGCCTAGCCCCAGCCCAAATAAATAAATAAATAAATAAATAAATAAATAAATAAATAAATAAATAAATAAATAAATATTTAAAATGAAAATAGAGTGAGGGTGAGTGGGTGGTGACGTGTGGTGGGCGCAGGTGAGCGCGGCGCGGGAGGAGGTGCCCGGGCGGAGAGGGTTCCCCGGCTACATGTACACCGACCTCTCCACCATCTACGAGCGCGCCGGCCGGGTGCAGGGCCGCCCCGGCTCCATCACACAGGTGCAGCTCCTTTCCCTGCCCTCGCGAAGCTGCCACAGCCGCCTCGTAGAAACAAGCAACAAGGGGGCCTGTTCGAGAAAGTCCGTATTCTGGACATGATGCAAAGACATGGGCGAGCCACTGCGAAGACAATGGGTGTCATGCACCAGTTTGACTCACGATATTAGAGGGGAATTTTAAGTGCGGCCAGATACCAAAATTATCATTTTTTGGTTATTTAAGGTCCCATTATCTACGACGTCAGTAACGGGCACTACTGATTTAACGTTAGAGGGTGATGAGGAATGGACGAACACCAATATACTCATGCCCGACGCAGGATTAGAACCCACGATCCTTCGGCTAGAGATCGCTACGGCACTATCGCTTTAGAGATCTCATCCATCCGGATGGACAAAGTTATCACCTTGTTACAAGTCTTTGAATCATATATATGTAACATTTTTTAATATTGACTTTTTTAAATTCAACTACACATTTATTGAGTTATTTTAGTTTGGTTATCGTAGAAAATTGTCATTTATGACACTTTCACCCATGTCATTGCTTTATCATTTACGTCCTTGCTGACAAACTGATAATCTGCATGCGACCCTTTTTTAAATCACCCTTGAAAATTTAAATTTTCGGATAATAATAAGATAAATCAGATAACTTTTGACAAGCAACGTGCGGGAAGAACGATTCCCGGAGAGGGAAAGCTGTCTTCCATGCTCTGGCGACAAAAAGTCTCAGCATCAGTGGACGGCATCTTTTCCAGATCCCCATTTTGACGATGCCCAACGACGACATCACGCACCCGATCCCCGACCTGACGGGCTACATCACCGAGGGGCAGATCTACGTGGACCGGCAGCTGCACAACAAGCAGATCTACCCGCCCATCAACGTGCTGCCCTCGCTCAGCCGCCTCATGAAGTCGGCCATCGGGGAGGGGATGACGCGGCGGGACCACTCGGACCTCTCCAACCAGCTGTACGCTTGCTACGCCATCAGCAGGGACGTGTTGGTGAGCGAACGCCATCGCACGCCGTTCCGCGAAGCAAAAACCGGGTTCATCGATGTATAGATGGTTTCGTGCACGGCAATTGATACGGCCCTTAGTCTCGTTTGGGTAGTACTTGCCTTATCCTGGGAGGAGGCGGTGATTCCTCACTTACTTATTGGATGGCGAGATCTAGCGCCGACCTACACGCTGGTATGCGGGGATATCCGCATCATGTACCTCCCTCAGCGATGCACAACCGTACGCGGGACAAGGTCCAAGGATCCGAATGGTCACTCAACATGTGGGATAGTGCCTGTAAGTGTGTGTGTGTATAAGGGGAGAGGATAGGACAAGGTAGAGGAAGGGAAGATAGCACGCGCTCTGTGACCCGTTTTCTAGGGTATAACTCCAGAATTTGCTTGATATTGATCGGAGATACCACGTAAAACTACCGACCAGAGCAGCCGGCCGCTAGAATTCCCCTCCAGACAGCGGCTGAATCCGACAAAGCTATATAGCTAGTGCCGAAAATCCTGCTATCGTCGAGACCCTAGGACCGCCCGGTCACAGGCACTGCAGTGACATCAGTTCATGCCCTGCGTCAGCTCAGCCGGTCCCAGCTGAAACAACTATCCGGTGTATATGTTCACAACACGTACGGGACTAATGACCCTAACAGTAGTCGCGCCCGGAAATATCTGTCAATAAATCAAATCAAGTTTCATGACAAAACATCAAGAAAATCTCCGTGATTATTATCGCATTACAACTGTGTTCTGATCTTTTACAAGGTTTGAAAGGATTGTAAATGATACTAAAGTGCCCCCTTCCCCCAGGCAATGAAAGCAGTCGTCGGAGAAGAAGCGTTGAACCCCGATGACTTGCTGTACCTGGAGTTCCTTTCGAAATTCGAGAAACAATTCATCACTCAGGTATGCCATCAATTGTTCAATTGAAAATGAAAATAATAATAATAATAATAATAATAATAATAATAATAATAATAATAATAATAATAATAATGTAATATAATAATTCATCTGTGAGGATACAAAATAATAAAATCTCGCCGATATTTTCAAGGTTATGACCAGTCCAAAAAGAACTCAAATAAGTTTTTTGTACATATTTCAAAAACAACCTTTGAAGAACATATTTGACTAAGTGTAAAAATTCTATCTTCATAATTGTACTTTAGAAAGATGCCGAAAAAATTTAGAACTTTTGAAATCTTCGAAAAATGTGATATTTAAACAAACATGAGACCTGCACCATTCTTTTAAACGTCCTTCATAGAATTAAGCAAAAAATTAATTAAAAACGATGAAGGCATATTGTGAAAATGTCCCAGTGGCTTCATTTAAAGTACCCCCGAGAATTTAAATATCGGTTTCAAATTCAAGGGGTCGTGACATCAGCGACAACTATTGTAGTTTATCAATTTTGGAGGAAATTGGCTAAACGGTTCAGCCGCTAGACGGACAAAGAGACAGTCGTTTTACCAGCATTGCATTTATTGGTATCAAGAGTCAACAAAACATGAATTCTAGAGGATTTTTCACGTGCTAGAGGATTTTGTTTTATAAATTTATCAACTGTATATATCCACGCTTTCGCAACGAGGACCCTGTAAAAAGAGTGTTTCAACCCCAAATCCGCCGTGTTGGTTTGCGTAGAATTCCGTACCTTTGTCTCCCGTCCGCAGCGAGAACGTCAAATGGTCACGTGAGCGCTTGGGCCAAGGATGCGCGTGTGGGTGTGCAGGAGCTGGACGAGAACCGCAGCGTGTTCCAGTCGCTGGACCTGGGCTGGAAGGTGCTGCGCACGTTCCCCAGGGAGATGCTCAACCGCATCCCGGAGGACGTGCTGGCCGAGTTCTACGCCCCGCGGCGCGGCAGGCGCAGGGGCCGGCGCCGCACCTACACCACGCGCAAGACCTTCACCAAGACGCTCAACGTGGGCCCCCCTCTGGCCACGCTCCCCCCCTTATGGCTCGCTTCCTTCCTCCTCTTCCTCTGCCTTCACCAAGACACTCGACGTCCCCCCTCCCGTCCCCGCACCCCTCCTCTCCTCGCACTGGCCTCGCAGCCCCTTCCTTTCCTCGGATCGCTACCTTTCCTTCTTCTCTACTTGTAGAGCCTTCTTTTATGAGTTGAATCGCTACTTTTTCCCCCTGTTCTCTTTCCTTACTCCTCTCCTTTCTAGCCCTTCTTTTCGTCGTGTCGCTCCCTTTTCTCCCCTACCTCTTCTCTTCTCCCCTTCCAGACTCTTCTTTTCTTAGTTGTCTCGCTACCATTTCTCCTCTCCGCTTTCACTAATCCTATCCCTTCCTGCCCCTTCGTTTCTTCATCACATCACACTCTTTCTCCTCCTACCCCTTCTCTTTCTCCCCTTCTCTTTATGCCCTTTTGTCTCCTCTCCTCCTCCTCACCTCCTTTTCTTCGCTCCTCTTCCCATTCTATTCCTCTTCTCTTCTACCTCCTTCTCATCCTCTTTTCATGTTCACTAATTTTTACCCCTTTCGCAACCCTTTCTTCGTCCCACTCCCCCTGCTCGCATCTTCATCACTCTTCATTATCTTCTGCTCATCTCCATCTTTCTCCTATCTTTTTTATCTATTATCCTGATTCCTCTTCCTTCTCTTCCTCGTTCTTTTTTACCTTCGGTTTGTTTCTCTCCTTTCCCTCCTCTCCTTCTCCTCTTTCTCCATTCCTTCCACAACATTCTCTTTTTCCCCCTCGCTCTCCTCCCGCCTTCTTTCTCCCACTCTGTCTTTTCTATCAGTTATCCTTATCAACCTTCTGTTCCACTGTCACCTTCTTTTCGGTATTTCTCCGCCACTCTTTCACTTCTGTACCTTCCTCCTCCCCAACTCTTTTTTCAACTTGCGTTTCTTGTTTTATCTTCCTCCTCCGTCTTTTCCCTTTCTTATTCTCCCGTCTTCCCTCTACTTTTTTACAGACTCTCCTCACACCCTCCTTCTACTCTCCCGGTTCTTTCGATTCCTTCTCCTAAGTCTGCACTAGTTATTTCTTTCTCCAGTTTCTTTTCCTCCTCATATTTACTTTTCCCATCCCCTCCATCCATTTCCTCATCTTCATCTTTCCCGCCCATTCCTCTACTCTCTTCCTTTTCTTGGTTCTTTTTCAGTTGATCTTCCTTTTATTCCTTTCCTTATTCATTTTCCCCATATACTGATTTTCAACGTTTCCTTTTTTCCCTCTATTTTCTATTTACCGTCTTATTCCTTTAATGATCATCTTCTGATTTTATACATGTTCCCCTCATTCTGTACTTTACGAATTGTTACGAATTCCGATAAACACCGCAATCTTCCACGTGTATATTGTTTAAAGTGTTCCAATCTCAGTCTGCATTTAAGTTTAAAATCAAAACAACAGTTGATTTGCAGTGCATTCATTAGCTTGTTACCAAATATTGTCACCTTTAAAGTCTCTTGAAAAAACACTTTTGACATTACAGGCTGTTGCTAGTCGCGGATTAAAGACTGAGAAAAAAGAAGTCGACGAGAAACAGGGAGATGCTGGGTAAGCCAAGTCTCTTCACAGAATGAGCATCAAATCATCATTATCTGCAGTGACGAAATATATTCTACACTCATATTTTTACATAATAGTACTTCAAGGTCACGAGTAGGGCGGAGAGGGGAAAATATTGAACACAGACCGCAGGTTCATGTCTGACTTACTGTACAACTCCATTAAAAGTTTTCGTGCCCTTGTGGCTCAGAGGCGAAGTCGCTTGCCTTTCCCCATTGAATTACCGGGTTCGATTCCCGTAGAATCTCCGTAGAACCCTACGTGAAATTTGTTACAATGCATGCTTCACAGGGGCTAGTCCAACCCCTGTGAAGCGACCTAAACCTTACCCCTATCTTTATTCCTTCCCAATTCTGGCCGATGGGTAGATGACGCGAGCGCGAAGGCGCTACCTGTCGGCGATTTCCAAATTTCACTATGACTAGCGTGGCTTGACAACGCAGTGGCCCCTAGAGAGAGCTTAATAACGGAGGATTACTCCGATTAAAAAATTGTAAATGTTAACGGAGGATTACTCCAGTGCGCTCAACGCTCCCTAAGAAGTTAGGAGACGCTTTGCGTCTATAAATAGACACAAATTGTTTTTTAAAAAAACTGGTCATGGGCGGTCTGTGGTCAAGAATTCGGGCGGTTTAATACTTCTCTCCTCGCGACGTCGACAAGCGCTCTGAGCAAGCGCCGTCGCCGACGTCCCCTCGGCCCCCTGGAACATCTTGTGCCGTTGGTTCGACAGCGATCGAGAGAGGATCCCCGAAAACTTGCTGACGCATTAGAACAGTTTCCCACAGCGTCTTTTTAAGTTTAACGCAAAATTTGATTGCTGCTGGTTAATCGACAGATCGCTCCATTTTAGCCTCGACGAAGTCACACTGCAAGTGTTCACACAATCATACGTGTACACTCTCCATCAGCTAGGAAGCGACTGTCACGGTAATCACTGGCAACCTTCCACCTACTCCTACCGACCAGTCCGGTCGTTCTGCGATTTTGGTTGCGTCAGAAAAAAATGCTACGCATATCTTTTGCGACCGACCCTGTGTACAGGTGATTCAGTTCTTATTGCTCATACAGTACTAGATGATAGAGTACACTAAGTTATTTATGAGTGCAAAAGTAAATAATGTAAAACCTATTTAAAATTTGAAAAAAAGTTTTTTATTTGTGGAGATGGGAAAACTATTATTGAAGTGTTTTACGAGTTTATTTTATTTTCGTAAGCAGCCAAAATTTCGCATTTCCACCTCGTGTAACAGGGGCTCTACAAGTGCACAAAATGGCCTCTTCCTACGTGAACACAAAGTAGGCATCTGTACCACGCGATCTCTGTGCCGCGCATGACTTTGCCGGGTGCTACATTTATTTCTGCCGCCAATCTTTCAATGGGTCAAATAAGGTCATCACAATCCTCGACCTCGATAGCATAAATGCGATATTTCATTAACCTCCAAAAGCCTTGGAAGTACTTGGTATAAAATTCAGGTAAATAATGCCACTTGATCGCTTCGATAAGAAGTGAGGACCAGTGATAAATTCACCCGCTGGAAATGGAAAAATCGTACTCTCCCCGCACGAATTGTTCGGCATACGAAGGACTGTGAAGCCTTAACCTCCGCGCTAGTTGCCCTGGGTTCGCTTCCGGGGCTTCGCGGATAACATTAGCAACTGAGTTTTTCAGATAAATGGCGAGGCCTAACCGAGGTAAAACCGCTCACTTACCACAGCGCATGTTACACTACCACAAGCATAGCATAGCCCAAAGTTTAACGTTAATTAATTACAAAACTAAACGACGACGAGAATCCAATTTTGGCGCAATTTAGTCTGTACATTTCACGTAGGATAACGTTCCGGCGTATTAGTATCGAGGACCGAATCTCCCTGTGTATACAGACTTGTTTTCTGGCGGAACGCGGCGGAACAACGTTCCGGTACCTCGAGAATAATTATTAAATTGTATTATAAATATAAATAGTTAATAATTATATTAATAATTATTATATAATTAATTATATTAAAAGTATGTGAATAATAATTAATTAACTACATTAATAATTATTATATTAAAAGTATATGAGACATAATTAATTACATTAATATATTGATTAATTTTTAATTTGATAAAAATATTATTTCTATTAAATTAATAATTCATTTGGAGCGGGATTCTGGAACTACATTTTTTGTAAATCAAGCAGTATACTTTATGTCAAATTGAGCTGTTCCACTTACCAATGTCATCCCTCACACAGGTCGGAAGACGCTGCCAAGAAACCGAGCCTCCTGGCCGACAACGTGACTCGTGGCTCATTAGCGACAAGGTAGATCTGATCCCTTAACACCTAAGTTGTGATTTCTTAATAGTTCGAAACTGGTACGCGTTATTTCGTGTTCCCTATCATTGGCTTTTTATAGTTTAATATTCATTATACTCCAACTTATGGAGTAGAAATTGAACTATAAGCACAAGTCACATGAGCCAATTTGTAAGAAAACAAATTTACTGCAGCCAGTCACTTTTTGTCTCAAGAATTTTGGATGACTTGTATCTACGTGGCAAGAATTTTATTCTATCCTATACAACTAGTTCTTTCAAACGATGTACAACATCTTAGAATACATGTTACTACCGACAAGCAAATGTAGAGGGGTCGAAAATGATTCTTTTACCCAATGAACATATAGTGGAGAATTGCGTATTGCGGAGTTTAATACAACGATGCACGTGGCATTGTTATGAATCTGAACTAAATGTTCCCGCAACAGCATATGTACACGTGAGAACCCGCGATCGTTTTAACGCCAATAATTTCAGCTGCAGCTGTTTTGCCACTCACCGAACGTCGCTGTCTGTTGGCCTCTCTTGAAGAAATTTAAACAAAACCAGAACACTTTAATTTCAATCACAAGCAAATGCATTGTTCATGAAATTAAAATTCTGAAAGCAATCGGCAAATGTTACCTTCTTCGCTTCCACGCGTATCTTCTTCTTCACTTCAGAACAACTAATTAATCTTCCCCAAGGATTCGCCAAACTTCCAAAATCCTGAACTCGCTACTAATTGGGTTATAAAACCAGAATGTCACGTTCATATTTCCAGCCTAGTTTCTGGCGTCCAATTTCTTCCGACTCCCCCCAACAACCCTTGTGTTGCTACATTCCTCAATTGTCTCTTTTACCGCGAGTTCATACATCTCTTACAAGATTCATATTTTCATATCGTAACAGCCATTTTCCCCTGAATGCACACAGGTACATGAAATCTCCTCGACTGCCTCAGAACGTTACCGGCAAACATCTGTTCACAAAGGTTGCCTCAAAATCAAAGGGGAAGATTCCGGGCAAAAATGTTCATTTCCGAATAAACAGTTACAGAAAGGTCTACCTACAAAAATGTCCAATGCACAATGACAAATACCTACGTCCAGAGTGAGAAACGTCCGCTAGCAGAAATGTTGGATAAAAAAAGAACCAACAAAGAAAATGTCCAAAACTGTTTCTTTGACATGAAGATGCATTCACATTGAAACAAAAGAGCACCCAAATTACACAATGCAATTGCTTTATTTTTCCATAAAAAGTATTTTTCAAACCTACTAACGAGTGCTTATTGAGGCTTATCCATTCAAAATACCGAAAGTTTTTTTTAGACAAAATACGTTTAAAATTGTTCAAAGTGTTTCGTTGTTTCCTCCCTGGGTGTATATATATATATATATATATATATATATATATATATATATATATATATATATATATATATATATTCTGACCACCCCCGCTATCGCTTGAGATCCACTCAGATATAACAGCTGGGACGACAGAATGAATGGTTGTAATGAACTTTGTGATTTCAGGGGGGGGGGCAGAATCTTTAGGGTGTGAGAAAGTCAAATATAGTTGAAAATCAAGCGTTTATACTAATCAAAGTACTTTACAAAGCACTGAAGAGAACACAAAGAAATAATCACAAAACACTTTCAAATTCATATCAAAATGAAATTATTTCTAGAATATACTCTGAAATCTATAAAATAACTCTTAACTTTGAAACATGTTAAGCTTCCCAAATTTACAACTTTCTCAACAAGCCATGCACAGTAATTACTCATTGCTTGGCCAGCAAATGTTTGCAAATCGTTAGTTAAGTTTACTTGGTCAAAACGTGAATCAAATAGGATTAATTGTCTATCTACAATGAATTTCACTTTGTAACGCTCAACAATTTAACATAATTACCTAATAATTTCCTCAGCAATTCACACAAGAATGAAACATATGACATGGACTACAAGGCTTTTTTTGCGGTTCTCCTTTGCAATACTGACCGTCACAAATTATAATTTATTATTCAAATTTCCCTTCATTATATATACACCTATATATACACCATGCATCATTTCAGCTCTCAAGTTCAATTTCATCATAGTTTTGTTTTGTTACGTCTAGTGAAGCGGAATATCATGGCGAGAGACCTGCAGAAGACGCCGGGGGCTTGCGAGGGTGAGTCTCATTTCACGAGGACGGAGGTGAAGGGACCGTGCCACATGAAGATGCAAACGTTTCAAAACAACTTTTCAATCAATGTTAACGTATTACTTTCTTAGAGAACTGACAAACCAAACACTCAACAATCATTCGTCTTTTATTCAGACTGTTCACACACCTTCAGTGTTCAGTGGTGCCACCGAGGCTACCAGGCTTCAGATTCTCCCCGAGAAGGCAATGGAACACATTCACGAATATGTTTTACACTAATTTTCTGTACTAACGAAAGTTGAATACGTTATAAATAATAATACCAGTGGAGCTACCACAAAACGTACTTTCTCGCAGCGCTAACAACTTTGCAATGTTATAATCACGATCCTACACAACCATTACCAGAAACCACTACCATTACCTAGAAAATGTTAATTATACAGTCTAGACTCAATTAAAATTCACCAACAGTCAAGTATGTGTAATTAAAATTTACATTAAAATTGCAAAATGAAAGTAAATTATTCCTTCTAGTAATGTATCATATCACTGCCGAACAAGAGGACGGCATTTTATTGTTGCTCGTATAGAAACACTACATAAAGAATGCCGAAATATGTAGAACTTTTAAACAAGAACTCGTAGCAAGCTTTAGTTTGTTTTGCCATCAGAAAATATTGCGGCCAGTAGTGCACAGTGCTTCAACCAGTAGGATTGTATTTGCACACAATTCCCCTTAATATAATTCAAGCAGGTTAGTTACAGTTGGTGTAATTTTCATTTGCAACTAAAGACTCTTTTTTTAAAAATAAATTCTGAATTGTTACAGAAGAAGCGCAGAAGAAGCGGCTGGAGGCAAAAGAGAAAACATGCATGTGGGAGCGTACGTTGAATCTGAAAATTTATCTTTTGAGAATTCCAGAATAACGTCGATATTTCATTCTGGAAAAGAAAACAGGAAGTTCAGTTGTATTGAACAATTCGACACAAATCGATTTGTGTTCAACAATTTCAGTTTTTATCGTAGAATTCATTTCGCGGTGGCCAGTACAATTAAGAAAATCTACAACACTACTTCTCCCTACCCAAATTATTGTAAATGAGCAAATTAATTTCATTACATTTTATGTCTTTCGTTTTGTAAGAACGACGTTCAGACCTTTCAATTTTCCAAATTTTATGAGTGTCACATAATGTTTTTATTGAAGGGAGAATATCTCACAAAGTACAAATTAGGTAAGTATTAATTTTTCCACGCGAACCAAGTTGTAATATTTTATCCAAAAATTTTGCATTTGAGAAGAAGTCATTAACTTTGTAGTTATGTTAACGGGATACTGTATTCCCGCACATTTTCAGCGCAACGGTGTGAATGAGATTTTTCGCGTCTGAACCCAAGAGGTGTGTGTCAGCTCTTGTCTCTCCCGCTTAGCAAATGACAATCTGAGCCTCATCCTTTGCAAACGCACGGAATGTGTTGATAGGAAAGTGTCTCTACATGAGTGATCGTGCGCCGTTGCGACAGTTTGTGCAATTAGAGTCTGCAGTGGCTTCAGAAACAAAGTAAGAGAACGTGGCTAGCTTACATTGTCGCAAAAAAATATTTTCCCGCAGGAAAAAAAAGAAAAAACATTAAAGTTTGAGATATTTTTGTCATCTAAACTCCTTTTATCGGCGACACAGATTTGTGTTTGAAATGTTCAATAATGTATAATTTTAATTTAATTTAGAAACATTTCTAATAAATATATAGTGCCAGAAATAGTTTTTCTCCCTCGTCTGAGCCGTAGCATGCCGTTATGATACTTTATCCGGGGCGCTAAAATCAAATGTAGAGCAATAAAACATTAAAAAGAGTGAATTCCTACTTAAAATTTGTATAACTTTATTATATATCTTTATTTGAAGTGTCCCACAAACTCCCCCTTATTTTAGCTCATATTTCGTAAACACATCCCCTCGCTGTGACCCACAGCCCACAAGACACCATTGCCCCCACACGCAAGACTAACCCACCTCAGCCCTCGCCAACATTCCTGCGATTAAAAATTATCTAGGAAGACAAGTACATTCATTAAAAAATATCATAGCGCTAGGACTGCAGAAGGAAAAAAATGTCGAACTAAACGGCTTTATTTTGAAACCAAAGTAATTTATGTGACAATTTAGGCTAAAGGGCGTATCTAATATTATTTTATAGTATAATGTGAGACAGACCAGCAAAATTCTATTACAATATTAAACATAAGTGTGTTTTATATCACAGTGCACATAATGTTCTAAAATCCGTAAAAAACATACTAATCTAAAACCTAAGATATTTTTACGTTTGGGAGAATTTTTACTTTAATAATTCCCCTGTTTTACTAAACGGTTTAGTGTATTTTTTACATTAATCTATGTTTGAACTTTACTTACTATTTTTTTCATTTCAGACGAAAGGAGTCGCTGAAGGACGATGAAATCGAAGCCACCCTTAACATGGTGACGCGGAAGAGGTAATGATGTTCTTCCCAGAGAAAATGTAGGAAGAAATGAGCCAAATTAGATGTTGACAACACAGGACATTTCCAACCTTTCCCATTCTTTTAATGGGCGACAACCGATCACTAGCAAACCTGGTGTCGTGACCTGGAAAATCGGCAACTAATTCAAATTTCATTATATATACAATAACTTTCGTATCTAAAACTCTTGTAACTAAAAATATTACTTAATCACTTCGCGCTTGATATCACAATGGTTATGACACGTCGGACCACTAGAGTCGTGTAACGTATTAGCCAGTGTGCCTCGTGGCATCTATTTGGGGACGCTTGGTAGAGGATTAGCCTCGCCACAGGAAGGAGAGAAGGGTTTTTCCGTAAAGGCAAGAACGCGGAAAAGGGAGACACAAGGCTTTGGCGTCTTCCGGCTTATAGAAACTTTTCACTGTTATAACAAGCGAGGGGGTGGTGTGACGTAGTAGGTCACGTGGGCCTCGCCTATATAACAGAGTGTTCAGAGCCAGTGGATGGGTTCTGGAGACAGAGGGAGAACCTCGTGCGTGTGCACAAAACTTGGCGCCACGACGGTGCATATGCGAGCCAGGCTCGCGAGGCTCGAGTCACTAGTTGACGAAGCCTGCGGACTTTAGGACCTTGGGTGACTGCGGTCACGGGGAAGCGATGCTGTGTGCGTGCTCCGAGGTGAAGAGTGGTTGAGTGCCACGATTCACGCCGATTCTCAATCGGATAAGATCGCTCCTGCGATCGAGGCAAACCAGCCGTTGGTGCGTCAGAACGGACTTTGTGTCCCAGCGTGACATCCGGTCACGGAAGCTAGGCTTTGTGCGCACTTCAAAAGTAGGAGTGGCGAATGCCACAATCAAAACCATCTTCAATCGGGTTTGGATCGCTCCCGCGATCAGGGGATAGTAGGTCTATCAGAGGTAGGGTGTAAGTAGATTATTAAGTGTATATATTTGTTTTGTTTTCTTTGTTAATAAATATATTGTTATACGAAAGCTCTGTGTCTGTGGTCGCTGTGAGTATCCATGACGTCACAGTCGCTAGCGTCAGGTGCCTCTCGTTATATCGCAGAGGGTCCGGTATTGTCTCCACAGCATTTGAATAAGCGGCGAAAAAATATTCGAATTTCAAAAAGACACTACAACAGCACAAATGGTACCACAGCAGCATCTAATTTCTGGCATTATTTCTAACTGCTCCGCAATATTATACTACTACTGAAACCTATGTCTGAACTTACACGAAACTGTCCACTGGAGGACGGCAGGGAACCTTCAAGCCATCACAGAATATACATTAGAATGAAAGACGGGGGTCTGACTAGGGTAGTGAAAATTTCCTCCAATGGGGAACCAAAGAGAAGCCCTACCCAGTTGCGCAGGGGAAATAGGAAGGCGATCCGCCATTACAGAAAGACTACCAGTTCTGCGTTACACACAAACGATAGAGTTGTGTTGACAGAAACAGAACATGGCGAATCATATAGATATATAACAATTTGAACAGAAGAAAAGCTTCGACTATTAGGAAGCTTTTATTATTTTTTACTTTTCTAAATTTGAATTTGCGATCAAGTGTTAGGCCACGATAAAGATCAAACCTTCAGAATATTTTACCCAATTTGAAGCAGATTTATATGTATAATAAATCATACAATAGATCAAACTACATGAACCTACAAAAGTGCAAGCAAAATGTTCTCCGCACCGAGACTCGAACTCAGGTCCGTCGAATTAACTCGCCGTGCACCTTGCGTCATCGAAACGGTCGAACGGTCCAAGTCGGGCCGACGCTTAAAAATCTAATAGTCTCAACCCAATCTGTCTTTAAAGAACAGAAGCCTTAGCGCTCAATGTTCAGTATTGACTTTCTCAATCTGGAACACATATGAGTCCTGAAATGTGCATAGTTTTATTTACGACTGATTTCCTCTAACATAAATGGTTATTTTGCTGCCATATTCTGTTTTCACTAACATAAATGAAACATGGCATCCATATTCTCTATTTCTAAATACGTAATGTTTTGGTTTATTTCCATTTCCGAGTTGTAACGTAATCAAAGTGTTATTGTGCAGATATATGCTATCCTAACGTCTAAATTTTAAGGAATAGGTTGATGCCTGTTATATCACGTTAAATTGGTGGGTTATTTAATCCTATTTTATTGTGCAATTATTGGTGAGATCAAAATTACTAATTTCCCATGGACGCAGATATTGCAACTATATGGAGCTGATTTGAGACAATTATTTTAAAATTGCCAATGTTTTTACGCGAAAACTACTCATGTTTTTGGAAAAATTGTACATAACATTATTTTAGATGTTTCTAAAAACGAATTATATTAAGTGATAACTAGAATTTACAGAAACAATTGTGGCCAGTAAATCTGTGTCGGTGCTGAGTTGTCAGAGATCTGAAAAAAATGTGGCAAAGTTAGAGGCTCGAAAATGGAGTTTTGAAGACGCAGCTGTTGTATAAAGTTAATGGAGAAGATAAGAAACTAAAACATAGAACAGCAAATAAGAGACACTTCGGATGTATTGGATGCAATAGACGTTAGACGGCTAAATTGATATAGCTATCTTAAAAGAATGTCGGAAGAAATATGGTCATAAAAAATGAAGCTGGCAGGTGCCAATGAACAGGAAAGGAGGCAAAACACGACTCGCGTGGTACGGTGGTGTGCGACAGACAATGTGAGACAGAGTGCAGAAGATGAATGGTAAGATACAAGAAGATTCCAACTTGGATTTTAAAAAAAGAGACGTATGGTTTAGTTTCACTAGCTCAGAAGAACAAAGATTTGGAGCCTTTTTTGATAACATTTAGAAAAAGTTGAGACTTTTTCTACCCCCGCCCAACAAAATTCAAACACCCGAGTCCGCCTCGCAGGGCTTCCAGCCGTTGAGATTGATCGGGGAAGTCAATTTTGGAGAAGATCGTGTGAAAGTGCAGGCGCATGCGTCGACTGCAGACCAAATCAAAGATTCGTAAAGCGAGGAAATAAAAATTAGACTTTTTCGACCTTCTATTTAATTTTTGGTAGGTCATTTTGGTTACCCTACATCATAGCAAGGATGACCAGAAACCTACAGAATCTAGAAATAAATATAAAATTCAATTGACGAAGTAAGTGTACGTATTTCTGTTTGTTAATAAACTTTTAGGAATACAAATAGTACAATGATTACCCACGCAGAATGCCGCGACTTCAGGTTGTTTCACGAAGTTCAGGGTCTGATCGGCAAAGTTGGTTCTACTAAGATGTTATTTTCACTTCCACTGATTGATTGATATTTCCAATCTCGTTAGCGGCTCCGGTCATTACTCCCGTAAGTGTAGTATATGTTGTATCGCGATATACGGTGCCAACCTACACGTCGGCTTGCGGGGTTCTCCCTCAACCAGGTATCTCCCACCAACTCAGACCCGGCAACGCCTACTCAGCCGAGACAACCTCTAAGCTTCCGACACGTGTGGTTGTAGTGCATGCAAGTGTAACTGTGTGTAAGTTAGGGATGAGGACAGGACAGAGAAGAGGAAAGAAAGATCGCACTCGGTCCCTGGCCCGTTCGGTAGGGTGTTGCTCCGACATTGGCCCGGTGTTGATGGGAGGAACTACGGAAATCTACCGATCGGAACGGCTGGCCGCTAGAATTCTTCACTCAGCGCATGAATTCGTCCTAGCTATGTAGCTACTGTCGAAAGTCCTGCCACCGTCGGGTCTCGAACCCAACGATCCCTCACTCAGAGGCAGTGCACTGATATCAACTGATACTTATGGGACTAATGACCTTAGACGTTGTCGTGCCCAGAATCGCCAATCAATCTAAAAGACATATAAACTAACATTGAAATTTAGGCTTTCCACAGCCCACTAATCGAGGTCCTCTCTGAAACAGCAAGGACGAGGAAATGAGAGGCTCCAGCCTTCTGGACGATTTCGGAGCCCGACAGGCGAATGGCCCTCCCAGGTACGAGAACTCATTATAACCAGGGCTCGGGTTCTGTTGACATGTCATCTCTTCATTGATGCATTCTAGACGTGGCTAACTGGTAAATGAATGCTTATTACGACATATAGGTGATAGATATGTATAGTTAGTGGGTAATCATTTTTTGCCATTTTTCAATTTCTTGGTAATTTTTCTGGACCTTTGCGTCATTTGTGTAATTTTTCGCATTTCGTACTCTTTCCGTATTTTTTGGTACTGAGTGTTTCATTAATTTTTAATAACACACTAAAACAATATTTTTATTGTAGCAGTTCATGACGAAATTCAGTACTGTAGTGGATTCTGTTTTCCGAACTCTCAAAATTCGCAGAAACACAGATCTGCGATAACGTCCTCGACCCCTCTAAACTGACGGTTGGAAGATCTGAGCGAAGGGTTAAATTTCCTCGTAAAATAAAGTCTTTACATTATATATTATTTGTATATAAATATATTTTATTGAAAATAGTACAAGGTATACAACTTTGCTTCCGCCGTTTTTACCTCAAAAATATGACCCTTTAGTGAACAAAATGCTTACACAGATATTATTCAAAGTGACGTCCATCGCTGGCCACAACTTTTTTCCCATCTTTCTGGCAGTGTGCGAATGTCGCGTCGAAAAAATTGTTCATCTTTGGAGGCGATCTACGAATCAATCTACTTTTTGACATCTTCAAAGATCGAAGCTGTTGCGTCAGTCAGAGTCGTGGCCATTGATCGGAACAATGCATAATCAGAAGGGAGCAACGCTGGAGAATCACGCGGAGGTGGGGTCAGAAGACTCCCATTTCAACGTTTCCAGGTACTTTTGATCACTCTATGCAAACGCTGGAGCTAGCATTGCCATGCAGCAAAATCACCTTATACGTGCTCTCTCTCTGTACTTGCGGGCGTTTGTCTTTCAATGTCGCGGCGTACAACGCATTAATTGCCCGTTCGATATCCCGCATACCTGTGATTGTTTACTTGGTTTTAAAAGCCAT